GACGACGAGCTGGCACCATAGCAGACTGATGCAGTCTGATGCAATCAAGACTATATAGGTTTTACGTAAGAGAGACGCTGCATTGCTCTCTATCGCTATGCTTAATGGAATCTGTTCACAGTTTTATAGCCACAGCGTGAGACTAAACGCTTGTTTATTCTAGCACCTCCCCAAAGCTAAGCATAAACTTACTTCGATGCGGTTGTTTGGGAACTCTGGCATAACTATCTTGTGTCCTTCTCCAACTGTGTTCTTCTGCTCCCTTGCGCTGTTTGCCTAACTTATCAGGAGGAATTTTTTGATCCCTTGTGATATCGAGCCTTGTCATTTTTTCTTCGGTAGTTTCCTTGTTGTTAATTTGTTTCTCACTCCTTCTACCACCTCGCTTCAGTACATGATTTCCTCAATACTGTCGTAGCGCGTCAACATCGACATTAAATGAAACAAAATGAAAATGACCCCAAAATGCGACTATCCTTCAACTTTCGTCAACAACAATAGCGACCCCACCTTGAAGAATCGCAAATTTGACCCCACGTCTGGATCGCCCGGATAAACGAGCCTGACTGCCATCATTTTATTCCCTATAGCTTCTAAGAGTGCTCTTTCATGATAAGAACACCTCTACAAATATTGGAAGCATACTCAAAATATGGCCTCCCCAGAACATCCCATTTTTCCCATGTTATAGATTATAAAATCGAACGATGTGACCGTCAAATTGTCGCCTGCTGTTTATTTTTGAGTTATTTATGCAACCTCCCTTTGCTATGCATGCCTCTACCGACGTGGACTTTATTTCACCCCAGCTTGCAAGTTTGAAATCAGAAAGCGATTTATTGGGTGGCAATCAGCGCAAGTTCAACACGAAGAAACTTCAGGCAATACTAAATATTCAATGATCGTCAGAGAATGCAGAGTGGTTGAAAAGGTTCTCCACTGTAGGACAGTCGTCATCGTGCACTTCCCTCTGGAGGACGTAGAGGTGGTCTCCGGGAAGAACTTCTACGGTGTTCATAGTAGAGGAGGCCCAATGATGGCTGCATCCCTGGAACTACTTTCTTTATTCTCCTATTCCTATTTAATAACCTGAATAAAATAAAATATGATAATATATTCAAAGTTTGTTTGTGCTGTGAAAACTGGGATATAAAGATATATAACAAATCAATCAGTTAACATCTGGCGCATTTATCAAGTCGGTGGAAGCCGAATATGTGCAATACACTCTGAATAAATCTTCTAACTTTGGGAATAGATCAATTGAAATTGAAAAGAAGTGCGCATTGCTATACACGCCTCCAGATAAGATGCGTTCTTATCCTGCTCATCTTCTGTAAACTTAATTATGAAGCCAAAAAGCACAGCTCCGGACTCACAGACCTGAGTAGTGGGGTCGACCCTAGCCTTTGCTCCATTGCTTTTTGAGACAGCATGCCTGAAAGTCTCTTTCAAAAAGTTTACGCCTCTTGTCAGCTTACATTTGTCCACTTGTGCTTCATAGTTGAGTTGTGAAGGTCACTCAACAGCAGTTAAGGGATGTCTAAGCTCAAGGCTCGTACAGAAAGTGCACGTATTTCAAATAGCAGGAGTGGCCTTATTACCTTCAAAGTGGACCTTCTACGTGGAACCCTAAGACCCAAAAAATAAGTAAGTGTAACGAGTATGCACTTAGTGACTGGACGTTTGTGCTGTTTTATGGGCCATCGCACCTACAAAAAGGCCTCAAAGCGGTCTTGCAGTAGGATCCTGCTTGGCGCGAAGTTCATGTGACTCATGGGTTTGTTGCAAGAACTCTACAGTTCCTTCTTGAGACCTCCTTTACCACAGCGAAGAGCTCTGAGTAGGAGTCGCTGATCATGCGTGTACTCCTACACCATCGAACTTTGGCCGAGTAATCAGTCAGCCGAAGGCAATCACACACAGACTGCATGTCAGGCTAGCTGCGGTCTGACCCGAATCTGGCCATTTTGCTGAAGTGAGTGCGAATGTGGTTAACAATGATGTTCTGGAATCCTCCATCCTGCATGAACATTTGTCACGACTTGGCCTGCATGAATCAATACTTGGACTGATATTTCGCAGCGTTCGGCTTTTCTTGGCTCTGAAAAATGCGACAAGGCCGAAATGTTCCGTAGCTACACTTTTACAGGAAAGCATAGGGTTTTTTTTTCGTAGGAAACGACATGACACGGCACACGATATCGAGTGAAGCTATTTCCATTTACATATTGCGATTTCATCCCAGAAACAAAAAAAAACTAGTAAAGTTATTATGAGTGAACCGGATTTTTTGAAGGGGTGAAATGTTATTAGAAAGAAGTTTAGTCGGGAAGGAATGCTTCAAAAAAGCTTCACTTAGATTTTTAGCACGACGAATTTACTAGTAATAAAAGAATCTTTCCCAAGCGGACAGCAATTCTGGATTAGCGAAAGTTGAGTATTTTGATAATAATGAAAAGCAGTTATCCAGTCGAGTGCAAGGCACCTTTGTTTGTACTTTTTACTTCAAATGCTATCACTTGAAGGAGGACATCAATCCTTTGTAATGGATAAGACAAAGCTTCCTCAAAAATGGAATATGACGATGGGATGGTCACTGCAAGCCTCACTCATATAATTAGGCACCATGTAAAGGAATTATTCGGAACAAAACTATTCGGAATTAAGCGGCACTTACCAAACTACCGCAATAGGCAGCAGCACAGTTGGGATCATCGACGCAATTTTCCATACACTGTGAACAGCTCAACCCCAAAATTCCATTAGCATAAAAATCCAAAGTACCGGACACTGGATGGGATGTGGTGAAGTTGTATTTCAAGAATGTGCAGGGCACAGCAAGCTGCATCTGAAAGGCAGGTGAGTTATTGAAGCACCAGGAAATTATCATAAAAACTGTCGTAAAGAGGTAAGAGGCCTGCTCAGTGAATTTCGTCTTAGGAGAAGATTTCCCAATTTCGCTCCGTCTTTTGCTCGATTTAGCAGCATTCATGTGATACTCGGTCTAGACAACGACAGGCAGGCTCCGAGAAATGTCATGATCAATGTTTTTCGGAGCTGCAACCACACCAAATAACCAACTTGAAGGAATGCGAAGATCTGGCACTTATCTTGCGGGCACTGTCTGCCCTACCTTGGCCTCCATGTAGAGCAGGTGGAACGAGTCTTTCTGCACTTTCGGAAGAATAAGTAGAAAGTTATTTCTCAACAGAAAATAATCCATGTACTGCACGCACTGCTTTGCTTTTTATCGAAGCAATTTTTGTGAAGGCCTTTCGATTGCATTCTCCAAATAACCCTTCCGAGAGTATTCTTTAGCACTCGTTTGGAGGCACACTTTAAATCTCGAACCTTCGAGTGGACATTCAGGGCTGGATTTGAGGTTATAGGATTGTGGTACTTTAGATTGTATTTTTTATACATGTCTTCAAGCATTTTCATTCAAAAGCGCTTCGTAATTCTTTATGTTATGAGAGCTCCACTATTGAGAACTGAGATGACCCAATCCTTAAGACCGTTGGTTTCGGATGCTCTTTTTTTGTAGGTCCAAGTCCACCAGGTGAGGAGAAGATGGTCGCCAGGCACTATATCTCGGCCTTGGAGCTCTAATTTTCCTCATTTGCAGTTTCACGTAGCAATATGCCTCATTGGAAAGAGTCCATTTGGACCTTCGATCCTTGCGGAGTACATCGGTGGCAACAGTTTCACGCATCTCAAGAGACGCGATAGGGCATTAGACACGTTCCGAAACCCGACTGATTGGAAGCATTTGTTTGTTCGAGTCACCAAAATGAGTTATTCGGTTGGAGATCGCCTTGGAAGACTTATAAACTTTCACAATTTTCGAGGAGCACTTAAGCGTTTCCTGACGAAACTCTTCAGCTTTCAAATGTTTTCACACCCTTTTTATTCTTTTGCCCCTCTTTTTGTCAGCTGAGACTTCTAAGCCGCACTATTCAGAAATTTCCGAAATGTTGCCTTGTTTCTAGAAGCCAATTTCAGAATATTTTTGGGCCCTGTTTATGTGTATGTTCATAGTTCAACAGTGGGGTCATTCATCCTTGCAATTTGCAAAAATGCTTTGAATAAGATACCTGAAGAACCAGAAATACAACGAGCGGTGTGATGCCAACCATGACAACCCTGAAATACCAAATGTCAGAAACAATTCATGATTGTTCGATGATCTTGACAAAGGTGTGCAGGAACTCCAAACACCGCGTCCTTACCGGGCACACTGGTGGTTGGATATGCCATCAGACGAGTTAGAGAGTTCTTTTCAAGAGTTTTGCGGCGGCCGCACGACGAGAGGATTTGCAAACATTTCAAAACCCAACAAAACCCTTCAGTAGCGTCTATATTCAATCTATTGCACTGCGATAATATTTGCAAATCCTGATCGTGAAAGTTTTTCAAACGATCGTGGAGTTTTTGTTACTGACATGAAACCACCTCTATGTTGCTGGAATATATTATATTTCAACGAATGGGACTAATTGGGATATGATCACAACAAACCTCAACAAAATTTCAGAGGCTTTAGCCATAGAATTTTTCCGGGGAGAATTTCTTTAGGTCTGTAGTGGTACAGCTCCTACCAAGTCCGAATCCGATACCTGTTTGGAGCAGTGTTTTGTGCGCAACTAGGCAGCCTTTGGGATACATACTTGAAATACACCTCAGTGAGGTTCACAATTTCTCTAAAACGTCACTTTCTTGTCCTTGTCCTAGCAATAATCACGAGGGGCGTACTTATTAAAAGGGCTCGCCTGAGGCGAAAGTTTTGTTCACAACCCAGCATTCTTGTGAAACATTCGCAAGGCGAACTGCGGCCAAAAACAGCAGTTACAAACAAAAACAAGTCAAGAATCTAGATCTTATAGATCGAGTTTTTCAAATCCAACAACAAGATAGTCAATAGTCGAAGGTGCGATTTGAGTGTCCCATTTGTGTTGTAGCACAATAGCACAACAACCTATTACAATATCTTGTCGGGGCAACAGCAGAAGATGCCATGGATAGAAGAGCATGGCGACGGCTGACAAATACAACGCACCATTAGACTGCGCGGGACTAACAGTTGGAAGAAAGCGAAGACAGTAGCACAATGACATAATAACTAATAATGAACAAGGAAAATCAGTAATATGGACATAGAAGCCAACACTTAATGAAAAGGGGTGTGGAAGCTATCAAATTTCTAGACAGCGGCCGTTACGCTTACTTGTGCTTGCTATTGTTGAATTCTCGTGACTTAGATGAAGCTTAACACCTCATAAAAAAAGAGGAAATTCGCCATTTAGCGGTTTCTCGAGTTGCGCTCATCCTGGAGAAGAAATTTTATTGGGTTCTTGACAAAAGGAAAGGTTAGAGCAGTTATAGTGTAAATGATGAAACTCGAGGAAAAGAATACGGAGAAGTAGAGCAAGCTTTTGAAACATTTCTATACTACTATTCTAAGAAAGCTGTCTGAAATGGTGTTGCTTGAATGGCCTACTCAGACGCTTGCACTGCTTCCTTTCGAAGATGTTGAGTGCCACACATGAGGTTTCGAAGGCGGACCGTGAGTATAACATTTATTCACTATCCCATGAGATGTAGATGGCATTTCCACGGTTACGTACGGCTAGTGGTCCGTGAAGAAATTATGGCGAAAATTCATTTGAAAAAGATGGGGCAGATTATTTGAATTAGTAATTGGGAACTGTAAATCACTCAGTCCTCCTCAAGTGATATACTTTGGGTAAACTACAATACTTTGGGCAAACTAGATACTGTTTCTGACAGTAATCTGGCAGCTTTTTCGAATATTTCACATTCGCCGGCTCTACAATCAATGACTGAAGGTGATCATCAAGCGAATCGTAAGAAAAAGTAGAAATGTAATCGTGCGTCAACAAAATTCGATACAATCCTTGGATTCGCACGCAAAAACTTATCAAAAAAGCAATCCCGAAAAAAAAACGCTTTCTGTGAGAGATGGGCCGGACCACATTGACCGTAAATACTGGAATCTGTCTCCTGTTAATATAATATCGCCTAATTTCAAAATTTAGGTGAAAGACTCAGGCATGGGAACGCACACCATCGAATGACATTCGACCAGGGCTTCCGACGCAGCTTTTAGTAGAAACTGTCTGGGATCAAGGAAGGGAGCATTGGTGTCCGAGGTGTTGATGCCCTAGCGGTGGTTCAAGTCACACCTTGCTAGATGGGTGATGCGTTAGATTGTTGCAGTATAAATTTCGTTTTTGGATGTACGTAAAAATTGCTCTTGGCTCTTCACTAAATAAAAACGATAAGTAATAAATAAAAAAGCAATGTTCTACCAGGAGTAATTTGATGGATACTACCATGTTGTATCAGGCTTCACTAGCTCTCACCCAGAAACTTGTCCTTCTTGAAGAATTACAGCAATGTGCGCAGACAAACTTGGATTCCCAGAATCAAGTTCTTCCGATTCCGTCAAAGATGAAATAAGACTTAGAGGCGGATTTTACGATAAAGAGCTAGTTTGCTGGAAATAAGGTAGAGGTGGTCAGTGGAAGCAGGGATGAAGAAGAAACCATGGGAAACGGCCCGGAACCCGAGAAATGGGACCCCTTCCTTGCCCGTTGATTTTCGCCTTTTTCAACGGTAGAGCTCGGTCTGCAATGTCTGTGGGAGATCCAGGCTAACTTGACCAACTGCGCCAAAGGGAAAACAGTGCCAGATTGCTGGAACATCTGCATGTTGGTCCGCACCCTTACGGATTCAGCGTCGCTCTTCACTAAGTAACTACTCCCCTCTCGTGAAAGTTGTACTTCCGGCTTCTTCGCATTGGAGAGCTGCCCAGGCCAACGCTCGATTATTACGCGGTGCTGGATTTCCTTCAGTGTTCATACGCAAAAGTTTGACACCTGAGGAGAGAACTCCCCTCTCGTGAAAGTTGTGCTTCCGGCTTCTTCGCATTGGAGAACTGCCCAGGCCTTGATTTTGAGCTGAGGCAACTTGCTCAAGAGCCTAATAAGGGTCGTGCCACCAATGAATGGGTGGTTTACAAGGACCAGCTTACACATATATCAAGCCTTCCCAGTACCAACTAGGGAAACCCTCCAGCTGGCACGGTTATCTCGGACTGAAATTCTGCCTTATCTATGCACGAAGTTTGGTCAACAAAATATTTCATTTGCACTCCTTTTTTTCCCACTTTGAGCCTGGTATCCTGTTCGTCACAGAAACCTGGTTCAAAAAGGAAAATCCTCGACTCTGAAATAATAGATACCTTTCCTATTTTCTCTATCGTTTTGACCGGACTCGAGGTAAAGGTGGAGGAGTCTGTTGCCTGGTCAAAGGAAATCTTCAACTTAATTTTGTTTCCAATATCAGTTGCGGCAAAGTCGAGGGAATCTGTTTAGATTTATTCTGCCCTACAAAGTCGTCCTTACGGTTTACCGTCCAACCAACACCAATAATGCTGATGATGAAGCTCTAATTGACGCTCTCCGAGATCTTGCCTCAGTTCGCACTAGCACGATCCATTTTGGAGATTTTAACCTCCAGGTTGATTGGAACGTGCCTTCTGGGTTAAATTCCTCTAGTACTGCTACTTGAACTTTTTCCGTGAGAGTGAGCTTCAACAGCATGTTAAGCAGGCTACCCACAATGGCAATGTCCTTGATATTGTGTTATCGACTTCTGATAGCATTCGCAACGTTTCCATACTGCCCCCTCTTGCTACTTCTGACCATGCAGTTGTTTCTTTCAGCCTGCTTGAAGGGTCTAGCCCTTCTCCTTCCCTCCCTGTCCCTGATTTTCAAAATGCAGATTTTACTGCCCTCAATGAATTTTTCTTCAGTATCGACTGGTGGGCACTTTTCGATCAATACACTTCCATGGACGACATCTATCAAAGGTTCTGCCATGTTGTCTATACTGCCCTTTCCTCCTTCATTCCTTTCAAAATCCCAAGATCTCTGGTCCTCAAATATCCGCGTCAAATTAGCAACCTCCTGCAGCAAAAAGACCGTCTTTTTCACAAGCTATGCTCCCCATTGAGTAGCTCCCTCTACAAAAAAGTGTGCTCTGATCTTGATCGCCATTTGCGTAAATTCCTGTCTAACTATGAACGCCGCCTTGGATCACAGGCATCACTACACCGACTTTTCCGCTATTATCGACACAAACTGAAGTCTAAATCTCTTCCACATACGTTGGCCGATGATAATGGACAGGTACAGTAGTGATGTGGAGAAAGCCGAGGACACTCGCCAATTATTTCTCAAATGTTTTCTCATTGGAGTACTCTGATTGTTGGCAATTGGACTACCTCCCCTATGTCAGCGAATGTTGCACTGATTGCGTCTTCCACCCACATACCGTTTCTGCGATTCTCAAAAAACTCCACCCATCCACGACTGAGCCTTACGATGGAATTCCTCAACTGGTGTATAAGAAATGCCATGCCTCCCTTTCTAAGCCCTTGAGTATTATGTTTAACCTTTCCTTCCTTACGGGTGATCTTCCTAAACTGTGGAAGCATGCTATTGTGACTGTAATTCAAAAGTCGCCCAATTCAAACTTGCTGAGCAATTTTCGACCAATTAACCTTACACCGACTCCTGTCAAAGTGATGGAGAAAACAGTGAATGAAAGGTTACTAGCTTGGCTCTTAAGCCAGCACCTTATCCCATAAGAGCAACACGGCTTCATCCCAGGCTCCTCAACCACCACCAATCTTTCTGATACACTATTTGACCTTTCCAAAGCTCTTAATGCTGGCAAGTCGATTGATTTAGTTTACATCGACCTTTCAAAAGCTTTTGATAAGGTCTCTCATCATAAACTGTTAGCGAAGCTGGAAAAGTTAGGGATTCGAGGCAAACTTTTCAGCATGGTTCACCTCGTACCTGCACAACAGATACTTCACGGTCAGATTTAAGTGTGGCTTCTCGAACATGTACCCCTGTCTTAGTGGTTGTTCCTCAGGGAGGAGTGCTCTCTCCTGTTCTTTTTCTGATATATACACTGGAGTTACCTAGCCTTCTTAAGACATCTCCAGATATCAAGGTACAATTGTATGCTGATGACATTAAGATATACGGGATCTATATCGGGATAATTGTGGGATGATCTGTGATGCTCTGAGGGTCTCCATTCAGAGAATGGCTGATTGGGCAGTTCATTGGGATATTCCCCTCAACTTGAAGAAATCCATGGTTATGCATATTGGTGATTTGCCAGCAACTGCCTATTACATTGATGGTGTCCAGCTTGCAGCTTGCCGATCCACCAAAGATCTTGGTGTACTTTTCGACTCAAAACTCAATTTTTCCCCCCACATCGACCAAGCTGTAGAGAAGGCGTTCAGTAATCTGTTTGTCTTGTTTCGTAGCGTGCAATGCTCGGATGTGACAACACTGACACGCCTTTACAAAGCATGTGTGCTGCCCCACATCGAATATTGTTCTCAAGTGTGGAGCCCGTGCACCAAGAAAAATGTGTTCAAAATCGAAAAAGTTCAGCGCGTCTTCACTCGCCTCTTGTGGTACAGAACTACGCACAGCTACTGTCGCAATAATCTACCCACTTACGATGCCAGGCTTAGGTTGTTTGGGCTTAAGTCCTTGCAATGTAGGCGAGCATTCTCTGACTTAGTGTTCTGTTTTCGTATTCTTCGTAGTGAATCGACGCTATGTTCAAGTAAGTACTGGATCTTCAGACCCACTAGCTGTAGACGGGGTGGGTTTAATCTCCATTATACTTACTCTGATGCCAGGCACCGCTCCCTCATCTTCAATAATGTCTTTTATCGCTGCGCTAGATGGTTTACCTCAAGAGGTTCTTGCGTAAGTTAATAGTGCCACTTTAAAAGAAGACTGAAAAAGGTAAATCTTGATCAGATTCTTGGTATCTCCTCATGACAGTCTTCCAACCATAACATTTTTCAGTTCTGTCCTTTCGACTGGTCGGTTGCTTATCTCGCGAGCTTTCGTGATGTACCTTGGAGTTCTTCTGCCGAGAAGCTATTTATTTCAACCGCAAACATCAATCGAAGTAGATTATTTGGCTCACCATTGCATTTTAGTACTCGCTGATGAGCTCTCACCAGCTTTTAAACGTGATTCTGCTTTCCTCTGGCCAGCCTTGCCAAGTGCTGCTATGTCCCAAGCTAATGTACACATCGAGATCTTTCTGTCTTCCTACTTTACACTGCTAATACTGCACATAAATAGTTGCCATTTCCTGCATGGAATCTGGGTACAGGTCAACAAGTGGCCTGCTCTTTACGACTGGTCACTTGGGTCTGGGTCTTACGCCTGGGGTTCGTATTTAGATCAAAGAGGTAACTACTTTGGCCCGCCCCAGAATAACCTCTAGTTGCGTTGCCCAGGCTGACCTGTACTCTACTGCTTTACAGGACTGTATCCATGTAAATGGCGCTCGGCAACCATAGTATGATTCCTATTTACAAGTTGTGGTTATTCGGTGAATGGCTGATTAGTGATTTCTCGTTATCCCCGAACCACTCTGCTTGCGGCCAGCATTGGCATTCCTGGCACTTGAGGCCTGCAACTTTCCGCGGCTCTCCTCAAAAGGTTGAGCACTGAATACAGTTGGTGAGAGTATCTGCAGTGCAACTATTACTTATCCTCGTTCCATATCATTAGATAAAAAAGACGAGTGCTTTCAGACTCTTCTGTTAACTCTATGAGTTTTTTAATGTTTTTTTCTCCCTTTCTTTGTCGTTGTATGGTTTTATATTACTAACCTCGCACCAGTGTTAATGGCGCACCTATGTGCAATGAATAAATAAGTAAACTACTCTTGGCTCTTTACCAAATAATAAGGAATAAATAAAAAAATTAAAAAGCAATGTTTCACATGGAGTGATAGTAAGAAGTAGCCATATCCGAAAATATACTGTTGGATCTATTATTTTGAGACGATGATCCCCAATCTGTGGTAGTGGTCCGCACTCGCGATCAAGGGCTCTTGGAATCGGTTCTCTGACCGGCGATTTGGCGTCAACTTATTTTTAGGGTTTCTTTTGTCTTTGAAACACGAATATCGCACTTCTGTTGCAAAAACGTCTATCAAGAGTTCCGTGAACTTCACATGTAGTTGGTGGCGGTAGCGCCCAAACGTGTTCGGAACTCCTGGGTGCCCAATAGGAGGTCCATCGCGCAGCAACAAGGCAGAGTCAGCGGTTGAGTTACAGCGCGATGTAGTTCTGACCTTCGGTTTAATAATATGTATAGAGTGTACCATTGTACGTCCTACATCGCACCAGAGTCAACCCTGCGTTGCGCAGTTCGCAACGGCACGTTGAGAGATCCTCAACGCACGCTGTATGGGCGGAGACACAGACGGCTCGAGCATGCGAGTGTGAATGTTCGCGCGAGAGAACGTGTCTAATCGGGCGAAACTGCGCAACGCAGGGTTGACTCTGCATCGCACATCATGCGCTCGCTGCGACTCGTCCGCTCACTTTGCCTTCTCACCGCGCGACGGGCCTTCTGTCGGGATCTGGAACTCCTCGCACACTCTTTTCACGGGTAACTGTGGGCAAGCGTTGACCAATTATCAGTTAGGAATCTTTTTCAACCACGTTGCCGCGAAGGCGAAGGGCTGGCTAGGCAAATCAATCCTATAACCACATACCCGTGAGCGCGGACCGCTAGTGCAGCTCCATTTTGCTTCATAACGCAGTTCAGAGGATCGATTGGCAGATCCGAGGAGCGGATTCAAGATTTACGTTTAAAAACACATGCAGAAGTGTAGCTCTCAGTGCATACGGCTACTTTGACCCAACCTCCTTTTCTGTTTGGAAAAGTTAGGCATTATTGATGTTCCTTGGTGTGACTGTACCCTTTCGATATGCAAGCTTTGTCGTTCAAGTGGTTCGCCTAGAACAGTCCTGAGGTTGAGGAACTCCTTCACTGCACAGCCTTAACTTTTTAAAACTATGTTCACTCTTAATGTATGGAGGCGAAGCATGCCGCTCACATATGCTTCGACGTCCATTTATGCACTCGCGTGTCGTTTCCACAGGGGTGGACGGTATATCAGCAGTTTGAGTATGCGGCATTAGGGGTCCGTATGTGACAAGCGACTGGTGCAGTCGAAACATACACTGCTCTCTTTCGATTTTTTGATCAATTCCGAGTTACGGTCTCCTTTCAAAGGTTCCCGGGTCTGGATCGTCCGGGCAAACGGTTGACCTGATTCTCGCCATTCCACAAATGCTTCATTCTCCTATTAGAGTGCAATACCTTGTCGTGATCATCGACTTGACATTTATCTGTATGTTCATTATACAGTTGTTCCATTTTGCAAGTGATCTCTGTCAATGTTCGATTGCATTTCACGCTTTTTTGCAATTTTGAAATCGGAAAATGATTTATTAAGTAGCAAGACGTGCATTACAACTGCAATCGGTGGTATTCATTGATCGTAGAATAATTCAGTAATCAGTCTGGTTAAAATACTGCTCCGCTAAAGGGCAGTCAGTTTTGTCCATATCTCTATGGAGAACGAAGAAAAAGTCTCCGGAAAGAACTTCTATGTAGTTCATAGTAGAGGAGGGACCATGATGGCTGCATCCCTGAACAGCTAAATTTATTCATATATTCCTCAGACTTCGTCCTACTACATAAAGTTGAATTATGAAAAGATTTGAAGCTTGTTTCTAGTCCAAGCCAAGATATTTAGGTGTAAAATATATCAATAACCACTGTTCCGGCACTGTCGCATTCATAGAATTAGAGGAAGCCGAAAATGTGCGCGATTCAGGTGAGTTAAAGGGTTTTTTCTCGTTTTCGACGCAGAGGAAAGGAAAAAGTTCTTTACAGTTCGAGGTGAGTGCCGTTGTTGGTCGGCGCTGGAGATCGTGTTTAGTGGCGAAGCCGAGAATGGTGAAAAACAGTTTTCGTATTTGCAAACAGCGCTGCGTTGTCATTTGAAAGCATTTTCAATGGGGAATTGAACATTGTTCACTTCTTTTTGTAAGTTCGTTTGGAAAAAAGAGAGCCAATATCTGATTATTTCCAATAGAGCATTACTCGGAGCGATCTTCAGACCACAATGCGTTACAAAAAAACTATGCTCTTACAGCGAGTCACTTTTATTACAGGCCCCGGGTTTTTATTTTTTTCTAGAAAAATGACAGGAAGTGGTGCTAACTTAGTTGGGGGGGGGCACGCGGCGGCGCGGCAGTCTGCTCACCTGGGCTCTCTCGAGCGAGACAGTGTAAACTCGAACATTCCAGCTTTTCACGCATGTCAAGTGACTGCCCCCACCCCCCCCCCCTAGACTGCCTACACTCCCCCTGGCCCACGGATTTCCGAACATGCCAGGCGAGCAGACTGCCGCGCCGCCGCGTGCCCCCCCCCCCCAACTAAGTTAGCACCGGAAGTACAATCAAGCCCTCCGCTTACCAGGATCTTTGTCAATCATCGGCAACAAACGCCTGTTTCTTTTTTCCTTTCAATCATGATTGACTGAGAAAGCTATTCTTCTCACACTGATCGTGTCTGAGTGCAGATCTGTTTGTACAATCAGTATACGGACTGATGTGTACGACGAATCTTGTCAATCATCTGTCAGCGACACTCTTTCTCCTCACCCTTCTTTGTTGAAAGGGTAGCGAGTAGCACACGACGTGGGATACGACATCGAGTGTACTTATTTCCGTTCACCTATCGCACTCTCACTTTTAAGTATGAAGAAGGAATGGGTAAGACTCCATGAGTGAACCTAAATCTATAGAAAGGTGAAAAGTTGTCTCGAAAAGTATGCTAGTGGAGATGAATGCTTTGAAGTCCTACATAATGGAATGGAACCGTCCGCGGAGAAGCTGCTCCTTCCCGTCTGCTAGATGACATCTGCTACAGTGGGTGAGTCCGTGTAAGTTCCCGGGAATTCAAGCTTGAAACTCGCTCATAGTTCAGCACATCTGTACATCTTGACCGGCCAGCGCCAACATTTGTGTTAATTTCACGGTCTTTACGACGACATTCAAAACTCTTACAGCCCCCCCCCTGCCCGCCTCCCAATTGTTTGGATTATATATCAGAATCACTCTTTTTTTTTTCAGTTCTTGTTTGGCATCCTCCGTGCAGCATTTGTGGACTAAAGTATCAAAATGTTGGTGAGAAGGAAGGCGAGTTTTCCCGTGGCCGGATTCTTTCAAGTCTCAGCACATAGGCTATTATGGTAATTATCCAACTCTTCACTATAAGCAGACAGCAAATTTGGGTTAGCAAATTTTCTGGTAATTCGCAACGATCTTGTATGATAACGATACGTTTTGAGCCGAGTACAGTATGACTTTTTTCTTTCACAAATTTTTACGCCAGTTTGAATTCCGCCATTATTCAGCAAGATTTGCATTTTTCCATAGAGCAGGCGAATTAAGAAAACAACCTATTACGCATAATACTGAATGCTTACCGATACTTACAGACGGACCGCAGTAGGCAGCAGCACAGCTAGAATCGTCGAGGCAATTTTGCATACATTGTGGACAATTCAGCCCAAGAATTCCACCATAATTAAACGACTCAGTTACTAGATGGGATGTGGAGAAATTGAATTCCATGAACGTGCAGGACAGAGTAAGCTGCAGCTGAAAACAATACGCTTTTATCAAAAATTTGGGAGTTTCTGTTAAGAACCATAATGAAAAATGTAAGTCGTCCAATCAATGAATTCTGAGAGCCACATTCTTAAAGTTATTAGGTTGGCAAGAAAGTCCTGCGACACTTTTCAATTTTTTGATTTTAATTCTATCTTTTTTGTTTACAACTCCTGACCGGTTATATCTATCATGAGTGTCCACCACTTGTCTTCAACGCTCAGAAAATTTCTTGATGCTCCTTTCGCCAAAACCCAGCGGAGTGCGGGTCAAGAAAGGAGCGCGACCTCACTCTCCGAGTTGGACTTGATCGTCTAATTATTTCGGTATATCAAGATGATGATTAAAGGTCAGGATAGGTAGCACTATTTACAGCTCGACCAGGGGATTACGCTAAGAGAGGAAAGAAATCTTGCCGCAACTCCAGAATTTCTTACCGGGCTCATTTCGGATCATGGTGATTCGCAATGTCATGAAAGAAATGAATATTGTCGCGGTACGAGGGCTCTTGACGAGCTACCTCGGCCAGCTTCTGGTATTCCACAAGCCTAGGCCACTGCCTACACAATGGTGCCCATAACGAAGGGTATGTAGTGGAGCTTCTGTAAGAGCCCTACCTGTAATGGAGTGTAGGGACGCTGCTGGCTTCTTATAAAAATATCAAAAGATCGGAAGCGCTGGTAAAGGTGAAACACGCTGTAGCGGTGAACGACATGCCTATTGAAGCTATTGCAGATAGTGTTGGTCTTTGACACGAATCCATAGTTATAGACATTTGTACTAGACAGTGACTCGGAGTATGGATTTACTAGTGGTCGAGGTTTTTCAAATTTTCTTGGATAACTACTTACTGCAGCACTTATCCACCTCGTGGATTAAAGCCTCGAGAATGCTCTACCATTTGTTAGTCATAAATGTTACCTATGGATTGTTCAGAAAAAAAAAAAAATTTTTAAAGAGTGTCGCAGGACTTTCTTGCCAACCTAATACTTTCAAATCGGCTCTATTTGATAGCGATTCATTGGGATATTCGGCCTAGACAGTGACAGGCAGGTTTATGGTAATTTGAAAGTCAAAGTTTGCGAGGCGCAGACATTCCAAGTGACCGGCTTCATAGAGAAGCAGGAGACCCCGAATTCAGATGACGATGCCTGCCTTAGCTTGATCCACGTTTGACAACGGAGATTGAGTGGTCATATCTGAACTCTTTCAAGATACCGCTATAGACGCTTTCACGCGACAGAAACCAATGCACAGTACTTCGCAGCGGAAGGCATCAGATAGATTTCTCTGTGATATTCATTCCCCTAGGAAAAATAATCCAACTCTCAACATGACGAAAGGTTACTTATGACCACATGCTTTTGAGCCAAATTCCATCGCTTCAGCACACGTTCAGGATTGAGTTGTCTAATAGCACCTTTTTTGCATTCACTGTTGGTTCGGTTTAGTAGGAAACCCTTTGCCCCCTTACGGAACAGCTGGTTGTTGTTATTTGTACTTGGAGCTCCACGTTGAAAAATACGATTAGTTGCCCAAAGTCTCGAAGCGTAACACTCCTTCGTTTTTTTCTAATTTCTCTGCTCCCACTTTTCGGCTCTATCAGTCGATTTCATTTTGTCTTGCTGGTCCAAATCTACGGCGAGGCATGGCGTAGACACGGAGGCATCTGTCTTAGCTTTGTTATGCGGTGTTTTCTTTGTCTCCTCATTTAGACTCTAGTGTAGCAGAATACCACATTGGAAAGTGTCGGGTAGTGCTTTCTTTAAAAAAATTATGAGCTGTACTTGGGACAAGGTTCTTGGGATTTTCAGACAATTACACCTTTTTATTTTTGTTTTGCTGTTTGTCGACGTAAGACCTCTGGGTCAGAACCATGCAGAAATTTCGCAAATGTTGTTTTGTCTCAAAGAGTGTATGTCCATAGTTCAACAGTGGAGTTTGTCCAAAAATACCTGAAAAACCAGAACAGACCGAATACAACGAGCGGTGAGACGCCGTTCATAACGAAGTACCGCTACCCTGAAATCACAACTTCGAATAAATTCTGGTTTGTGTTGAAGATGGAATAGAAATCTGCATAAAGAATCTACAGGATGGTCATAAATATGATGGCAAGAATGAACTCTGAAAATACGGTAAAAAAAAAATGAGGAGCGCTCCTAACTTATTATTCTTTCTCGTATAAGTCGAGCGGTTGCGGTAATTGAAGGGTGATCGTAAATAGTCAAAAGCGTATTCGATGCAGTTTGTTGGGTAGCGTAAAAGAAATAAGCTGTAGATTGGGAAAACGTACATTAGCAATATATCAGTATTATCAATAGAAAGTACTTAACGTTCATGGAATCTGGACTAGATGATGCATGTGTACATCACACCGAAAATCAAGGCAACTTCGACTTATTCTCTACAAGGCAAAAAGAGGGGAGCACATAATAATTTTTTTTTTCAAATTCAAATGCTTCCTCGAGCTAAACGAAGCTCCAAAATAAATCACAACAACATTGAACAATCGCGTAGAACCCTGCACACGTCGGAAGCGCTTAATGATCACTGGATTGAGAGAAAAAGAAGGTTGGGCAAGAACTTTCGCCCTCAGCCGGGATTCGTACCCGGATCTCTTGCTTTCCGGGCAATTGTGCTACCAGTTACACCACCGGGGCACCATTTCACCCCAACTCAGCTTCGATGGTGAAGTTACCATAGCTTATCAGCATTCACACGTATAACGAGGACCGGTTAGCCGATATCGGCAATAAACCGCAAGGCTGGAGCTTTATTAGATGTTACCATTTTTGACTTATTGGATAAATGTTTGGGTTTTATTGGATTAATGCTGTCCACGCCGCAACTGCGTAAAACTTCTGACTTTTAACGTCATCGATTTTTGTTCCAGTTCAAATTTATTTATGTCAAATTAGCTTCATAATGAAATAAGTTGATATGTTGAAGAACACATCAGGACCTTCAGCCAGGATGTTTCAGAAGCTCAAATGCGCAACGGGATAATTAAGTAGGAATCAAAATAGATCAACGACCAAACCCAACGATTATGCCTTACGACAATTTAAGAAGAACCTTGCAAGGAGCGCGGTAGGCAAGATCAGCGCTACGTTTGCCCCAGTCTTTGCTACTGATCGGGCACTGAGCTATTGGCTCAATAGCATCGGCAAAGCGATAGGAGCTGCAAAGTTCGACCTCATCATGGACCTCCAGTCACTTTCGATGAGGACCTCTTGCGCTTTGAATAGGAAGGTGCATCCGGGCGCTATTACCAGGAACTGTAGCAAACATCTGGACGCAGCCTACGCGATGATCCATGATTCGCCACCTGAATGAAGGGGCTGTAGCGAATGAAGTCTCGATGGAAACAGCATGCATCGACTGACCATGACCGAAGCACGCCTGACCATCTGCAGAAGTTTCATTCTGCGACCGTATAGACAAGACATTCCCTAGTTGGTCACCAGTGCAGATGAGTCATGAGTCCACCACGATAACAACACGCGGCACGCCTGGTGGCTACCTCGCAGCCTGGACTCACCATCTCGACCAAAGCCCGAGCTCTTTCATCAGAGGATATTACCCCCCGTTCGGTGGATTCGCTGGGTATACCGTTATGAGAACCATTTCACCATTCAATCCTTTTTTCCACGTCTTGGAGTAAGTATGCTGTCCTTGTTTCTAACCTTCTTCTTCATATCTCTATACGTATTTGGTGAAAAGGAGTGATGCGCAATTAGAGAAAAACACGTCAAGATGAAGAAAGGCAAAACCAAAACCCAAAGAATTAGGAGAGAAGGATGCCTTCACACCACTCAGCATGGCAACAGTTTTTAAGAAAATTGGCTCATTTTCACTATGGTATCATTTCTCAGAAGATGTCTCAC